AAACTCCAAGTGTGATGCAACAGCCTACAAACGGACACACCTTCTCAGCAGTGGTTCTTGTCAGACTGACCATGTTCCTCTCCCTCTAGACACACACGTACTCCTGTACACTCTGGGAAGCCGGTAGACAGTGAAGATACATGTTCCTCCATAAGTTGTAAAAAGGTGATTGGGACTGTTATCCAAACAGGTATGGATGCAACAACATGGTGCAACTGTTGCCACCTTCCAAGTAACAGGAAGTGGACATTCACAGCACAGAGCCAAAGAATACAAAACCTGTGGAGAGCTGAGTATGTAACCCACTTGGTAGGATGCTTGGGTAGCACACAAAGCCCTGGTTGCTTTCTTTTGTGTGTTTGTATGTTTGTTTGTTCCTTCCTTCCTTCCTTCCTTCCTTCCTTCCTTTCTTTCTTTCTTTCTTTCTTTTTTTCTTTCTTTCTTTCTCAAGACAGGGTTTCTTTGTGTCCTGGCTGACCTGGAACTCACTCTGTAGACCAGGCTGGCCGTGAACTCACAGAGATCCACTTGCCTCTGCCGCCTCTGTGCTGCGATTAAAGGCATAGGCCACCCCACCTAGTTGGGTTTTGTTTTGTCTTGTTTTTAATTAGTTGTAGAGGGGGAGGCCAGAAGAGGGTGTCAGACCTCCTGGAGCTGACATAACAGGAGACTGTAAGCAAATATGGATGCTGGGACCCCAACTCCAGGTCCCCTAAGAGAAGCAAGTACTCCTACCTCCTGGGCATCTCTCCAGCCCAAAGACTCAAACACATAGTAGCATATACATTAGATGCAATGGCACATGTCTGCCATCCAGCCCTTGGGGAGATCAGGAGTTAGACGCATTCTGCAGCAACACAGGGAGCGGGACAGGAGCTTGGGCTATAAGAAATACTGTTTTCAAACAAACAAACAAACAAACAAAAGGAGGTGGGGCTTGAGGGATGGCATGGCCAGCCACACACTTGCCTTGTGTAGGGACTCTGACCCCTCCCAATCTCCCGTCCCATGACACATGCTTCCTATCCCAGGGCCGGGGAGGCAGAAACAATTTAGACAATAGGTGAGTGCAGGCCAATGAGAGACCCTGCCTCAAGCCAGGTGGATAGTATTCCTAAGCATAGCGTGATAAGTTGTCTTATGGCCTTCACATGCTTGTGTGTGCACTTACGCGCGCACACGCACACACATACACACACTTTTTTTCTTCATTAATGTGTTCATTCATTTTACATGATTAAAACCTCCTCCCCCCCCCCGTCCCTGCCTCATACAGCCCTTCCTTTAGCTCCCTTCCCTTCTCAGAGGAGAAGGGGGAGCCCCACTGGGTATCACCCTACCCTGGCACATCAAGTCACTGCAGGACTAGGCACATCCTCTCCCACTGAGGCCAGAGTTGGGGGAAGAATTGAAGGACCCAAAGGGGATAGAGACTTCACAAGAAGACCAACAGAGTCAACTAATCTGGACCGAACCACCAACCAAAAACCAAACATGGGCTGGACTTAGCCACCCGCCCCCCTCCCCACACACACACATTTTTAAAAAGTTGAATCGGCTTTTAATCCAAAACATGAAGTGGCGTTAGTTAGAATGCGGTGCTGAGCAGACGGCTTGATGTTCAAGCGAGCTTTATGTACAGGGAGTAACCCCGAGGCTTGTTGGTTTTATTCGGGGTCTGAGTGGTTGAGCCAGGCCTGCATCTCATAGATTGGGGTCTTGTAGGAACCCTGGCTGGGAGGGACAGGGAGGGAAGTCCTTCATTCAGACTGATCCTCCTCCTTGCCACAAACAGCTCCAGGCACACCTCTCTCTCTCTCTCTCTCTCTCTCTCTCTCTCTCTCTCTCTCTCTCATCATTTAATGCAATGTGTCCTCTGCCCTCAATCTTTAATCTTTTCTTTATCTGGGCAACAAAGGCCACCTTGATCCCCAGCCGTCCTCCCCTTGTTCTCTACCACAGTTCCATGGTGACTCTTATTTTTCCTGAATTCAATATAAATTTTAAATTTATGGCTTCAGTTGCCATGGATTTTCTCCCCAAAGGTCGGCTGAAGCCCTTAGGGTGACCTGCTAGAACAGTCTAGAAAACATAAAATGGGTCCTGGGTTCAGAAGAACACACAAGAGATTCCTGCAGTCCTGTGCTGGAGTCTGTGGAGAACACTTGGTTCAAATTGATCCTGGTGGTGCGTGTCTCAGTACTTGGGAGTATGAGGCAGGAGGATCGCCTCAACTTCAAGGCCAGGAAGGACTAGAATGAGATCCTGATTCAAAAACTAATATGAGACCTAGTGGTGTGATGATACACAGCCTTAGTCACAATACTGGGGAAGCAGAGGCAGGCAGATCTCTGTGGAGGCCAACCTGGTCTACATAGTGAGTTCCAGGTCAACCAGGGTCATAGAGTGAGAATTATCTCAAAATAAAATAAAGCAAAACAAAACAAAAACAGTATTGAAATTATAGGCGTGGCTTAATGTATTTGCTTGGGTTTGGTTGTTTTTTGAGACCAAGGTCTCAGTAGCCCAGGCTGGCCTACAGCTCATTGTGTAGCTGAGAATGGCTTGTAAGTCCTCCTGCCTCCACTCTCCAGGTACACTGACTGGCTAACACTTGGCTGTGGTGTGAAGTCCTACGGCCGCTAGGGCCACCTGGTAAGAAATGCAGGAACCCCAGATTCTCTTTCCTTTTCCAGAGTTTACTTTGTCCCTTATCCAGTCCTAGAGGAACAAAACTTTAAAATTATCACCATCTTCGGGCTCTCCTTGGAGGTCAGGGAAGGGGTGGGACCCTCCGTTCGGTAGGCTGTTAGATAGAATTAGTGCTTCTGTGGCGGACTTTAATGAGTTCTCCTGAGCAGACACAATTGAAAACTAGGGACCCAGAAGGGCGACTTTTGGTGTCTGAGAGTCAAAGAATGGACTTACTGCTCTGTGAGGTTCTGTTTATTTTGGAACCAAACTTAGAGAAGTGACCCAGGGAGAAAACTGAACCCCAAGTGTATAGCTGGTGCGTTTGGGCAGGGCATGTGTCCAGTGAATTGTTATGCTGGACTTCCGGCTGGCGGAGTGAAGCACTTAGTAGGATAAGGTGGAGGAAGGTGTGTCTTAGTTACCTTCCTATTGCTGTGATGAAACACCATGACCATAGCCACTTGGGGCTGGGGGAAGGGTTTACTTGGCTTATATACCCTGAATTAGAGTCCATTGAGGGATGCTAAGTCAGGAACTCAAACCAGGCAAGATCCTGGAGGCAGGAGCTGATGCTCAGACCATGGAGGGTGCTGCTTACTGGCTTGTTCCCCCTGGCTTGCTCAGCCTGCTTCCTTATAGAACCCAGGACCATCTGCCCAGGGATGGCACCATAATGGGTACCCTGCCCTATCAATCACTAATTAAGAAAATGAAGGCATTTTCCTGAGTTTCTCTCCTCTCAGATGACTCTAGCTTGTGTCCCTGGGTCGAGTTGACACAAAACTAGCCAGGACAGAAGGGTGTGAGGGCCGATGTCTGGAAGTAGAAGAGCCACCAGGGGGTTGCAATGGTCTGAAGTTAAGGACAGGACTTTGAGAATGGTGAATTGGAGTGTTGGGGGGGGGGGTTTGGAGAGCTGAGCTCTGGCATTAGGGCACCTTTGGGTGCTGGAGTCTCTGGGCTGACCAAACCTCTGAACCCTGGGGTGTGCATGGAGGGGCTGGAAAGGACTAGGTAGGTGTCTCTGCCAGGCCAGGCTTTGTCTCCAGAGTCTCATGAGTATTCAGGGCTATCTGGGGTCCCTTGTGGGCAAGGGTGAAGAATGTCAGATTTGGAATGAGGGAGGGGCCCCGTCTGACCTGGTCCTGAGTGGGAATGGGGTCTTCAAGGAGTTGGACAAGTCCTGGAAGGAGGGTCTTTGAATGTTACAGGGAAGGGGACTGTGGGCAATGTCTAGGGAGTTGGGGCGGTTTTCAGGCCTGTGCATGGCCTTGGTGCAAGGGGCTAGGGGACGACGACACGGGGTCTCCGAGGAGTTGGGGGGGCCGGGGTCTGTGAGGTTCCCGGGGTCTTTGAGCAGGGTGGCTCTGGAGATCTACTAGGTCCCAGGGTCTCATGAGGAGCTGTGCAGGGCTGGGGAGTGTGGGGCGAAGTCTCTGGGTCCCAGCTGAGGTCCCGAGGCTCTGCGGCGCCGGATCTATGCGATCCCGGCCGGCTCCGGGAGCTCCCGGGTCTATGCGATCCGGGCCGTGTGAGTCCCCGGGGCTGCAGGTCCCCGGGGCTCCGGGGCTCTGAGCTCACAGGTCTCCGCCGCCCCGGGTCTCGGAGGAGGCGGGCCCGCCCGGTCCCCGCCGTCCCTCCCGGCCCGTGCTGGCGCCGCCCCGCCTGACATCAGTTCCTGCGGCCGCGCACGGCCCGCGTCTCCTTCCCGGCTCGACGCTCGGGAGGCGCCGGCGGCGGCGGCGGAGCGAGGCCCGGGCGAGGCGAGGTGAGGGCGGCGGGCGCCGGGGCCCGCGGCCGG